TCACTATCTTTTAAATATGTTTTTGTATGTAATTTCAAAGTATTTTATTAAGAAGTTTTTCATCTATGTTCATCAGGGATATTGGTCTGAAGTTTTCTTTCACTGATGTGCCTTTGTCTGTTTTAGATATCAGGGTGATAATAGCTTCATAGAATGAGTTTGGAAGGGTTCCCGCCTTTTCTATGTCATGGAATAATTTGAGGAATGTTGATGTTAATTCTTCTGTGAAGGGCTTGTTGAACTCGGCTGAGACTCTGTATGATCCTGGGCTTTCCTTTGTTGCTAGGCTTTTGATGATGTCCTAAATTTCATTGTTGAAATGTTATCTGTTCAAATTTTCTATGTTCTCCTGATTCAATTTACATACATCATATGTTTCTAGAAATAAATTGATGTCTCAAGGTTTTTCATTTTATTAGAGTATAAATTATCAAACTATTGTCTGATTTTCATCTTTATTTTGGTAGTTTTCATGTTTATATTTCCTTTTTCATCAAGAATTTTAATCATTTGTTATATCCCTCTTACTCTTGGTTAACATGGGTAAGTGTTTATCAATATTATTTATTTTTTCAAAGAACTAAGTTTTTGTTTCTTTGGTACTTTTTAATTGTCATTTGCTGTTGTAGTTGGTTCAGTTTCATTGATTTCAGCTGATTTTATTTATTATCTGTCTTCTATTAATTTTGTTGTGGATTTGTTCTTTGTTCTAGGCCTTTGAGATGTAAAGTTAAATTATTTATCTGGATACTTTCTATTCTTTTAATGAACAAGTTAAATGCAGTGAACATTCCTCTTAGAATTGCCTTAATAGTGTCAATAGATTTTCATATTTTGCTACTATTCTCATTTCCCTCTAAGTGTTTTGTTAATTTCATTCCTGTTTTCTCTGCTCTCCATTGATCAATGAATAGTGTATTAGTCTTCAGATTTTAGAGTTGTTTCCATTTTGTATATTATTGTTGATTTCTAATTTCGTTCCATTATGATATGATAGAATACAAGGTATTTCTTTATTTTTTTGTATTTTGTAAAAGTTGCATTTTGGTCTAAGATATGGTTATTTTAGAAAATTATATATATATATATATATATTGCCAGTAAGAGTATCTTTAGTCATTCTATATATTCTCTCTCTATATATATATTATATATCATAATGATAATATATGATATATTATAAGATACATATTTTATGTAATATCTATATATGTTATGTGTACATTATTAATTATATTTTTATTTCTATAGCTCCTTTCTTTAGTTTTTGTGTAGTGATGAGAGAGGTGTGTTAAACTTATCAAGTATTCTTGTATCTGGTTTATTTGATTCTTGAACTTGAAAGGATTTGTTTGATGAATGTAGATGTTTCATCATTTGGGGCATAAATATTTACAATTGTTATATCTTGTTGATTTAAAATTCATTTAAGCAGTATGGAATATCCTTCTTTGTCCCTTCTGATTAACTTTGGCTTGAAATCTTCTTTTTCTGATATGAGGATAGAAACCTTTGCTTGTTCTTGAGATCCATGTGAATGATATGCCTTTTTCCCCATCCTTTTACCTTCAGTCTGTGGGTGTCTTTGCCTATGAGGTGAGTCTCTTGGAGACAGAATATTGTTGGGTCTTGCTTTTAAATCCAATATGCCAATCTATGTCATTTGATTGATGAGTTTAGGCCATTTACATTCAGTGGTATTAATGAGAAATAATTTTTATTCCCTGTCATTTTTATTTATTTCTGGCTTTTAATTTGAGTTATTGTCTCCTTTGGCTATGCTTTCAGTATAATTCCCTTCTCTGCTGGTTTTCACTTTTACTTTTCATTTCTTTTTGAAATATTTTATTGAGTATGTTTTTTAGTGCACTTTTTCTAGTTGTGAATTCTTAACTTTTACTTATCATGGAAGTTTTTTATTTCATCATCAGTTCTGAAGCTTAATTTTGTTAGTATAGTAGTCTGGCTGGCATCCATTTTCTTTCAGAGCTTGGTATATATTATTCCAAGACATTCTAGTTTTGGGGTCTGAGTTGAGAAATCAGCTGAGATCCAGATTGGTTTCCCTCTAAATGTGACCTGTCGTTTTTCTCTAGCAACTTTTAAAGTTCTATTCTTATTCTTTATGTTAGGCATTTTCATAGTAATGTGCCTTTGTGTGGGTCTGTTGGAATTTTGTATATTTGGAGTCCTGTAAGCCTCCTGTATTTGATTTCCATTTCATTCTTAAGGTTATGGATTTTCTGATATTTCATTGAAAAGATTGAACATTGCTTTGGTTTGTATTTCAGCCTTCATTTAGCTTGATAAATCTTGAATTTAGTCTTTTCATATAATCCCATATTTCTTGGATATTCTTTTCATGGTTTCTTAACATCTTTTCTCCATGGCCAACTTTACTTTCAAGATTTTATATTTTGTCTTTGTTGCCTAAAACTCTGTCTTCCAGGTGGTCTGGTCTGCTGGTGATAATTTTCATTGAATTTTTTATTTGGTTTATTGACTCCTTCATTTTGAGGATTTCTGTTTGATTTTCCCCCCAAATCTGTATCTCTTTATTTTAGTGATCTTTCACTTTCTGTATTTTCTCTCTGATTTCATTCCTTACATTGTCCTTACCTCACATGTCAGTTTTTAACTCTGAACATTCTAAACTCCTTCTCTGACATATTTTCCACTGTGTTGTCTATGGATTCTGTTACTGAGGTATTTTGGTTTGTTTGGGGTGATTTTTTACTTTGCTTTTTCATGCTGTGTCAACCCATATAAAAGTATGGATCTGAGGCAGTACAGTTTTGATCCTGTGGACTTACAGTGTCCCTGAAGACTACACAGTTTAGGAGCCAATGAATAATAATAATAACCAATTTAAACAATATACAGCATTAAACCAAATAGTTACTGCTATGACCTATACATTGTTGATTGGCACAGTAAACAGAAATGATGTGATCATTTATTGCCCACAGTAAAAACAGAAAGTTTGCAAAAAGGTTTACAATTTCAAATGGTGAACAGGAAGAGAATAGAAGCAATGTAGGATATTAGATTATGAGTAGGAAGAGAGAAAATTGAAGTTAAAACTTAAAGGGGACTGAAAGAGAGAACAGTAGAGATTGACTGTTAACAGAAGAGAGAAAGAGAAGGGAAACAGATAAGTGTGAGAGAAAAGTATGTAAAATAAAATAAATAAATATAAAAATAGAAGAATACATAACAAAACTGAAGTATACTATTCAGAATCCTTGTCCTCAAAATACTGACCCATGAAAAATAACTTCTTCCCAAAATATTAGAAATGATAAAAAAGAAACAAATATGTATATATTACCATGAATCATTCAGTTCACAAATAAAGAGATAAAAGGAAAAAGGGGGGGAGATGAAAACTTACAGAATTGTTTCATTGGAATTCAGAAAATTCTCAGTTTCCCTTTTCAGCAGTGTTAGGTGGGGTGGGCTGGAGTGTGATGACTCCTTCACCCTCAAGGTGGGGTTGCTGGAATGTGAGAGAGAAGATCCGATTGGTAGAGCTCCTGGAGGTGGGGTTTAAGCTTGGTCAGTTTCCAGGTTCTTCCTTGAATGTCAATTGGTCCAAAGATTTTAAATCAGCTCAACTCCAGTTCCCAGCAGTTACTTGTTCACACTGGGAGACTCCACCCCAGAAATCTCTCTTGGGTTCCACTTGTGCAGTGTAGGAGTCAGTCCTTAGTTCCCTCTGTCATGCTTGGATTCCAAAATTACTGGTCTCTCAGGTTTAATCTCTAAACTCAATCACTCCCACCCCCATCCTTTTGAATTCCTTGATAGGTGAAGCTCTCCCAGCTGGCCTTTTAAACCACCAGCGTCAAGTTGGATGGGTTTCTATGACCTGTATTCTCCTGTGTAAATTTTTTCCACGTTTGATTTTCTCCTTGTCACTTAGCCACTCTCTATGTCATGTGGTATTGGTTTGCCAGTCCTGTAGTTAGGGATTAGCTACCCATGCTGTCAGCTTCTGTACTGCACCTGCAGAATGGCTCCATCCTGTTTTCTGTAGGCAACTTGGAGAGATGTGGCTTCTTTTCTTCACTAGGATATTGTGCAGAGTGCTTTTTTGAGTTAGTGTGTAGTGTCTTTGAACTTTGATATCTCTATACCCAGACACACCAGTGGTCTCCTAAAAATGTGGGTTCCTTTACTTAATTCTCTTATATTTCCACTTTGCTTGTCTGGGAAGCACTCTGAGTGCACCACCAGTGGCAGCAATGGTGCTGGGGATTACTTGCTTTCTTTTATTTTTTTTAATACTGGGGATTGAACTCAAGGGCACTCAACCACTGAGCCACAACCCCAATCCTATTTTGAATTTTATTTTGAGACAGGGTCTTGCTGATTTGCTAATAAGTCGTTGCTGTTGCTGAGGCTGACTTTGAACTCAGGATCCTCCTGATTTAGCCTCCCCAACTGCTGGGATTATAGGCGTGTGTCACTGCACCTGGCATTTCCTTATTTTATTATAGCCAACCACCTGAGTTCCCTTTCTGTTTTGAATGTTCAATCTTAGTTCCTGGTAAAGTCCATTTTTAAATTTTTTTTACCTACCTTTCTAAGAATCTGCTGAGTTGCTTTCTTGGTTTCATGCCACTGAGCAGCCAGAAAAAAAAAACAAAAAAACAAACAAACCTCTCCTGTTCCACCATCTTGAAAATCTTTGCTTTTCTTTCTTTTGATAGCATAGACATTAGTCATGTGACATAATCTCTGTGTACCTCATTTTCTTCATGAAGAGTATTATAACAATGTCAATTTTAAATGATGTTAAGAGATTTAAATATGTCACTATTTTTAAATTTCCTGTAATGGTATTTGACATTTAATAACTGCTAGGTAAGCATTTGTTAAGTAAAAATGAATGTAGCTGCATATATGAATTTACACCAAATTATGATTAGTTGCAGTATGTATTTGAATTATTTAAATAATCAAGATTGTATCTTTCTCTGTTTAATTTTCTACAGCATATTGTGAACCTCATTATTATTATCAGTTCACAGCTCGGTACCATGCAGCTCCCTGCAATAGTATCTATAATATTTCCTTTGAGAAGAAACTTCTTCAGATTTTAAGCAAATTGGTTCTTGACCTTTCATGTGAAATTTCCTTACTTAAATCTGAATGCCATCGTGTTAAAATGCAAAGAGCTGGTTTACAAAATGAATTGTTCTTTACATTTTCAGGTAAGTGTAAAAACTTTCTTAAAAAAATTAAATCACATAACCAATTTTGAATACTTTATGAATTACCAGCAATATTTTTGGAATATAAATTGTATAAATTAAGTATATTTTCTATTCTGTGTTTTGATTTTAGGGCTAATAATTCCCAAATGAAGTCCCAATTTATGTACTCAATGAGAAGTTTGCTCTTTCAAATAACTTAAACCCTCCTTTGATAATTTACTATAGGATGGAATTTAGCATAGGATATATTGTGATATTTAGTTACAATGGATTAATATGTGAAAACATCTAATTAGGAGGTTGGTTAACATTGTAGACCAGACAACCATTTAGCTTCCTGTACTTTTCTTGATCTAAAGGGAAGCCTAAAGACAAAGAATCAACTTGAGTTGCAAGGATTTTAGATTTATAAATGGTCTGTTTAAGAATGCTCTTTCAGGGATCCTACAGAATGGGAGCAATTTTTTACCACATGTGCATAACATCGAGTGCTAATCTCTAGGAAAGATAAAGAACTCAAAAATCTTACTTCAAAAAAACAAATAACCCAATCAATAAATGGACCAAATAACTGAACAGAAACTTCTCAGAAGCTGATGGAAAGTTAATCAACAAATGTATGAAAAAATGTTCATCATCTCTAGTAATTATAGAAATGCAAATCAAAACTACTCTAAAATTTCATCTCCCTCCAGTCATGGCAGCTATTAAAAATACTATGTGTTGGCGATAAGTGTTGGCAAGTATGTGGGGAAAAGGGCACTCTCATATGTTGCTGGTGGGACTACAAATTTGTGCAGCCATATGGAAAGAAGTATGGAAAACTGGGAATGGAACTACAATTTGACCCAGCTATCCCACTCCTGGTTTATATCCAAAGGACTTAAAAACAGGATACTACAGGGACACAGCCACACCAATTTTATAGCGGCACAGTTCACAACAGATAAATTGTGGAATCAACCTAATTGCCCTTCAGTAAATGAATGGATAAAGAAAACGTGGTATATATACACAATGGATTATTATTCAGTGTTAAGAGAATAAAATCATGGCATTTGCAGGTAAATGGATAGAGTTGGAGAATATAATGCTAAGTGAAGTAAGCCAATCTCTAAAAACCAAATGCCAAATGATTTCTCTTACACAAGAATGCTTATTCATAAAGGGGATGCTGGGGGAGCATGGAAGCAATAGACAAACTTTAGATAGGGAAAAGGGGAGGAAGGGGAAGGGAAAGGGTATGAAGGTAAGAAAGACCGTGGAATGAGATGGACGTCATTACCCTAACTACATCTATGAAGACACAAATGGTGTAACTCTACTTTGTGTACTACCAGAGACATGAAAAATTGTGCTCTATATGTGTAATATGAATTGAATAGCATTCTTCTGTCATATATAACAAATTAGAATAAATAAAATTTAAAAAAATAGAAAAAAAGGAATGCTGTCTCGGGAGTAGCCATCCGTGTGTGTGTGTGTGTGTGTGTGTGTGTGTGTGTGTGTGTGTGTTTTAATTTTGTGTCTTTTAAAAAAAATTTGATGTTTTTCTATAGTGGGGATTGAACCTACATGTATATTACCACTGAACTACATTATTTTTTTTTTTATTTTGAGACTTGTTCTTATTAAGTTGTTTCAGGTAGGCCTTGAAATTATGATCCTCCTGCTTTAGCCTCTATGTTACAGGCATGCATCACAGCATTCCACTGAGCTCATTCATGTGTTTTATAGCATGCTTCCCCTCCCATTTCATCTCAAAAGCTATTGCTTGCTATATTCCTTTCTTCTTCCATATTTTCCTTTGATTTCACTGTAATCAGTGTTTGATGATACTTACCTATTTCCCTAACTTTTTCTTCTCTTTCTTTTCTCTCCCATTCATATTTTGATCATTTAGTATTGAATTTTGAAAGACAATTGTATGACATTTAGATTTAAAGGCAAAGGACATAAGCATTTCAACCTAATTTCCAGTCTTGATCTTCCTTGCCAAGTTTTTCTCAAAAAAAAAAACCAAAAAAACAAAAACCCTGAAATTTGTCTCCAATCCCTAAAACAAATGACCAGAGGCAGACTGTTTGTTTAGTTTTTAGTTTTTCAAAAATCCAAAGACTTTGTAACTTTTGTAACTTCTCAGTGTTTCTATGACAGCTTGATGTTGATTGCAATTACATAGTTTACTATCTGCTACTCTATTTTTGCCACACACACAAAAAAAGCCATTGGAATTTTGCTAGGGATTCTATTAAAATCTGTATATGGGTTTGGGTATCATTGCCAGCTTAACAGTATTATATGTTAGTTTACAAACATGGAATATCTATCCATTAATTTAAGAACTTTGCTTCATTTCAGAGTGTTTTATAGTTATCA